CTACAACCGTAGCCCGCTGCACTGCACATTTTGATGCCAAGAGGAACCAAGCAGTTCCCATTTTCCCTTCTAATCTAGTCATCTTCTCCATTTATGAGTTTTCTTCTGCTTCTCCTTTAAAAAATAATTTGGCCAACACATCACAAGTTCATAATCTAAAGAGTCAAATAGTATTAATAATTTTGCACAAACCAGCAACTTCTCATTCCTCTAATCCGCCTCTCTATAAATATTTAAAAACTCTTTCTTGGCTTTTTGCTAGAATTTTCCTCCATGTTTCTACATAATATGTATAAACCATTGTCTCTTGGTTTATCCACTTTAAATAGCCTGTTGGCTTCCTGTTATGGGATATGAAGATTTTAGCTGTTCTTTCTTTTCTTACAAGGAGTAGTCAGTATTTTATTTAAAAAAATTTTTTTTGTTGTTGTTGATGGACCTTTATTTTATTGGTTTGTTTATGTGGTGCCAAGAATTGAACCCAGTGCTTCACACATGTGAGGCAAATGCTCTACCACTGAGCCACAACCCCAGCCTTGAGTGTTTTCATTATTGTGTAATAAAATTGCTCATGTAGAGTCAAGTAGTGTACAGGAGTGGGGAACTGTTTTGTTTCGAACTTGGCTCAGGATTACGACCGCCACCTCCCCATTAGCTGGGAATACAGGCATGTGTTGACAGCCACCTGAAGTTGGCTATGTACTGTGAAACAAAAGCTCTGCTAAGTATGAAGTCATAATATTAAATATGGACTTTTAAAAACGTACAGTACTGCTCCCTTGCCCTCAGTGTTCTGTGCTCTCTGCCGTGGTCAGAGGTCACAGCTCTCATCCACTGCGTCTCTGTCCCCTACCTCCAAGTGTGCTTAAAAATTCTTAGGAAATTACGGGGCTGCGATTGTGGCTCAGTGGTGGAGCGCTTGCCTGGCACGTGTGAGGCCCTGGGTTCCATCCTCAGCACCCCATAAAAATAAATAAATAAAGTAAAGGTATTGTGTCCATCTACAACTAAAATATAATGGAAAAAATAATTTAACTTATAAAATTATTATGAAACTAGAATTTTCCTCTTTCTTTGGCACAATAGGAGGCTCTTGTCACATGGGGTCACACTCCCTTTGTTTCTAGAACTGGAGCTGGGTGATCTCTGTCTAGCAGCATGGCCTGGCTCTGCACCTGGCCTGCTTTTTCATTCATATTGCTCTTCAGAGTGTCACCCGGTTCCTTCAGTGCCTCTGTTTTAGGGCTGGAGGAGGAAGGCTGGGAAGAGACTGGCCTTTGTTCCTCGGTAGGACATCCTCATGTGAAACATGAACCCGCTCCTCACTGACATGGCAGGGTGTGGACTGTTTATTCCATTTTCTCACGGAGGAGTCGTCTGTCAGATTCCACACCCCCACCCCCAACTTCAAAGCTACCAGAATCAGTGGGCCCAAAGCCTGGGCCTGGGCTCCCCGACTCCCTGGGCAGATGTCTCAAATTCTGTGGCTTTTGTGGTTTCCTTCTTGGGAGTTTCTCACTTGTTTTCATTCTTTCCTTTCTCTCTCTCTCTTTTTTTTTTCAGCCTTGCATCATCAAGATTAAAAACTTTTTTGATGCAGAAGATTATTACATTGTTTTGGAATTGTAAGTAGTACATGTTTTAAACTTGACATTTTCATTTAAATGCTCAAAAGCCAACATAGACTTGAATGTAGACTTGCCTTGTTCATGCTGGGGACCCTCCCTAAGTATGTGGTGGTGGGATCCACAGTGTGTTTGCATGTCTAGGTAGTGTTAATTCTAGAAGTCGTGCAGTATTTCCACAGGCAGGTAGCAGGGGATTCTAGTCCCTGCATCTGAGTCCTGGGTTTAAACACTACTCTGCAGGTGACTAGTTGACCACCCATGGGTGAGTTTCTTTCATCCCTCTGAGTTTCATCTTCTTAGTGTTAAATGCAGATAATAGTACAGAGTCTTGGAGAAGTTTACATGCTATGAGGGATGGAAAGCCCTGCAGAGTACCTGGCACATGTGGGCGCTTGACATGGGGTCCCTGTTTTTTGGTCTGGGGATTGAACCCAGAGCATTGAGCTGCATTCCCAGCCCCTCTTTTTTGGGGGGAGGGTGGGAACCAGGGATTGAACTCAGGGGCACTCAACCACTGAGCCACACCCCTAGCCCTTTTTTTGTATTTTTATTTAGAGACAGGGTCTCACTGAGTTGCTTAGCACCTTGCTATTGCCGACGCTGGCTTTGAACTTACTATCTTCCTGCCTTAGCCTCCTGAGCTGCTGGAATTGTAGGGATGCACTACCGTGCCCAGCCCCAGCCATTTTTATTTTTCATTTTGAGACAGGTTCTCACTGAGTTGCTTAGGGCCTTGCCTAATTGCTGAGGCTGGCTTCCAACTTGTGATCCTCCTGCTTCAGCCTCCTGAGATGCTGGGATTACAAGTTGTGTGCCACTGTGCCCAGCTTCCACGTGTGTTGATGTTATTACTTTAAAAATATCTGCTTTCGGTGGTCCTTTCTACTTAAGGTGATGGGATCTGGTGGCATGGTGGTGCCTAAGTATCTTTCATTATCTTGCTGCTTTACTTCGTGGTTAGAATGTCCTATCTTCTTTGGTATAACCAAAATAATTTCCTGTGTCATTCCTGGAAGAGGCCTGTCTTATGTCTATTCCTGCATAAATTCACATTTTTTAAGCAGCTGTTGTGACAGGCATGGAATGCTTTGTTCTTGGCTGAAAAATGGAGGCTATGCAGATTGAGTGGCAAGAGCAACTTAGCGAGACCCTGACTCAAAATAAAAAAATGAAACCGACTGGGGTGGTAGCTCTGTGGTAGAGTGCTCTTGGGTTCAATGCCCAGTGCTGCAAAAAATAAAATAAACAGTAATCCTGATTATAACCCTGGGAGAGATGAATGTCCTAGGGTTCTTCAGGGAATATTTGCTGTTACCAAATAGGAGATTGTTATCTGACTGGATCTGGTTGACCCAGTGAATAATGGTCATAATAGTACAGTATAGTAGCTGGTGTTTATTAAGCCCTTACCTGCAAGCTAGGTTAGCACTTCCTGTGGACTTCATAATAATCTTACAGGTTACTTACATGTCATAGGTGGGTTTCTATTTTTAGACCCACTTTAAAGAAAAGGAAACTGAATCAGAGAATTCGAATAACATTGCTGAGCCCTGTGCCAGGTGCCTTACCTATGTCAATCATTTATTTTATACCAACCATCACAGCAGGTGGTGTTACTCCCACTTTTTAAGCTTAGAGAGATTAAATAGCCCAAAGTCCCACAGCTAGGAAGAAGTGGAGTTGGGGTTTAGACCCGAGTTGACTTGATTGTAAGTTCTGGCTTGCTCTTCCTCATCACCTCCGAATCACGCAGGGTACGTGATAAGCGTGCAGGCTCCTGGGCCCACCTCCGGTAGTGAATCAGATCTTAAAGTATCCCAAGTATTACCAATTCCCACTGCACGTTCCTTCTTTCATATTCCTTACTTCTGGTGGGGACATCAGATTGTAGATGAACCTTATTAGCTCATTAGCTCTAATAATGTGAGTCAAAGGTGAATAAAAATGGCAACTCTGTGCTAGTCTGAATGAGTTTGCTCTGTCTTTTATACCATGCAAGTGAGTTTTCCTCTAGGAATGAACACCTTCCTTTGTCTGTGTTTCAGGATGGAAGGAGGAGAGCTCTTTGACAGGGTGGTGGGGAATAAATGGCTGAAAGAAGCTACCTGCAAACTCTATTTTTACCAGATGCTCTTGGCTGTACAGGTGAGAAAAGTCCTCAGTTATTGTGCCAACCTACTTTCTGTGCGGTGCAATTACTACCTGGGTTAGGGAGAAACTGAGGGACTGAGAATTAAAACTCTGAAGCGATCCTGTGTTTGTTCTGTTCTTGGAAAAAACATCCTACCCCTTTGACTCAGATGACAAAGCTCTTGCTGTGAAGTTAAGAGACAGTAAGGAAGGGAACTAGAAAACCAACACCCCCCAAGTCTCCTCTCTTTAGCCTGGAGGTCTTCCTGGAGGGAAATTGATTTCTACCTGTTTTAGTCAGCTTTTTTACCCTGTGACTAAAAGACCTGACAAGAACAAGTTTAGAGGATGAAAAGTTGATTTGGGACTCACAATTTCGGAGGTCAAAGTTCATAGAACACAGGCTCAATTACTCTTGGCCCAAAGTGAGGCAAAACATCATGGCGAGGGCTGGGTTCGAGGCTTGGTGGTAGAGCACTTGCCTATCATGTGTGAGGCACTGGGTTCGATTCTCAGCACCACAAGTAAATAAATAAAGATCCATCAACAAGTAAAAAATATATATTAAAAAAAAACCCACAAGCCATCATGGTGAAAAGGTGTGAAGGAGGCAAACAGCTCAAGACGTGGAAGCCAAGAGAGCTGTGCTCACCAGGGACAAAACACATACCCAGGGCATGCCTGCAGCGATTTACCTGCTCTAGCCACACCCTGTCTGCCTGCTGGTACTGCCCAGTAAACCCCTACCAGTGGATTAATGGTTGATTATTAGGTTAAGGCTCTCATAACCCAATCTTCTCACCTTTGAACTTTTTGTGTTGTCTCACACATAACACTTCATATCTAAACCATAGAACTACGGCTACCTTATCTTTGTAGAAAACCTCCTGTAAACTGGGACTGGGCACAGTTGAGGGGCTGGTGGGCAAGCTGGGGCGAGGGGGACGGGCGTGCTCTTCCTGGCTCATTTACTCAGTTCCCTCCAGATGCAGCATCTTGGTCATGGGAGTGGACAGGTGGGTGAGGCATGTGCCTGGCCTTCTCTATTCAGTGAAAGTGTTGATAGAGAAGCTGTTGGTGGCACTTTGCCTTGAGGGATACCACCATTTTCCAAGCAGAATTGGTTATGGTGATTCCCCACCAAGATTCCTATTCATTGCAGTAAATGCAGTGGAGGGAGCAGATTTCTTATGGGGGAGGGAGACTGGAAATTTAACTCAGGGGCACTTAACCACTGAGCCACATCCCCAACCCTTTTTTTCAGTTGGAACACACTACCTTTATTTTATTTATTTATTTTTATGTGGTGCTGAGGATCCAACCCAGGGCCTCACATGTGCTATGCGGGTGCTCTACTGCTAAGCCGCACAACCCCAGCACCCCCAGCCCTTTCTATGTTTTATTTAGAGACAGGGTCTCTGAGTTGCTTAGGGCTTCGCTTTTGCTGAGGCTGGCTTTGAACTTGTGATCCTCCTGCCTCAGCCTCCTGAGTCCCTGGGATTATAGGTGTGTGCCACTGTGTCTGGCTGGGAGCTGTTCTTGTATTGGGTGAGGATTGAGGGAGATTTTTCTGGGAGAGGTCCACCTGGGTTTGGCCTTGAAGGTTTCATCAGGTTAATTTCCCACTGAAAGTGCCCAGAGGGACATCCAGGGCAGGCTGAAGTTCATGATCATAAGCCCCCCACCCCTCTGTCCAACCCCCCTTTTTTTTGTTTTGTTTTGTTTTTCTGTTCTGGGAACAAGTGCTCTACCCCTGAGTTACACACCAGTCCTCAAAGTCTTTTTAATGGTGGCTGTCACCTACCTAGTGCTTATCTCCCTTATTGGTTTTTCCCTTTCTTATATTTACTGATCAAGAATATTACAGTGAGGGGCTGCGGCTGTGGCTCAGTGGCAGAGCTCTTGCCTGGCATGTGATCCTCAGTGCTGCATACAAAAACAATAAGCAAATAAAATAAAGGCATGCTGTCCATCTACAACTACCAAAAATTTTTTTTAAAAAAGAATATTACAGTGGATTGAGTATATGGAGCAATTGCTATGAGACATTTTTAGTATATATGTAAATATATCATTTTGATGGAATTTTTATGTTTATTTTGGTATGTTCTCAAAATATTTTATATCACTCACTTAAGTTTTATTGAATTAAATACCTTATATTTCTGCCAATGTGAAAGGATATGTGTTTTCTTGAATTGTGAAATGCAAGCTTTATTGTCTCAGTTGCTGTTTTTGTTTTTTTAGAGAATTGTGAAAGTTTACTGAATGCTGTGATTAACTTCTTAATATTCTCCCTCCACCATAAAAAAGAGCAGTGTAGTTTTTGCAGTTGACCTCACGTTAAAGATAGAGTCTGATTTCCTGAGGGAAGTATTATTCCTTTTTTCAATAATTCTTCTAGGATAGGCTTGGTCCCATTTCAGAGGCGAGAATAATTAGAGTTTTCTGGAAAAATTCTGTATTGTCCCTTAAAGAGAGATGGGATACCATTCTTTCTCTTCCTAAATGAGATAGAAAGTGTTCTTTTCTGGTAGTCATCTTTCATAGGTAAGAACATTCTTAAGACAAATCTACACACACACAAACACGCATGCACACACATACACACACACACACACACACGATAATGTAGTAGAAAAGAGAGAAAAGGAACCAGGTCCTTGACTAAATTGTGACTAGTGTTGACCCCACTGTACTTTTGAAATTCCACTTATAAGTCACTGAAGTCTATCTTCTTCTTAAGTCTATCTTCTTTATCTTCTTCAATGTGGGCAGGTTTTAAATGACCAACAAAATTGATTTCACATTTAGAAAAAAAAAAAAAAAGGACTTCCTAGAAAATATAAATCTAAGGGCTATGCCTTCCTTTCTGTGTAGTACCTTCACGAAAATGGCATTATACATCGGGATTTAAAGCCAGAGAATGTTCTACTGTCATCTCAAGAAGAGGACTGTCTTATAAAGGTAAAAGTTATGTTCTGTATGTGAGCATTCTGGTAGAAACTGTCTTTTAATTCCTCGTGTGAAAAATGGGAGCAAAATAAAAAAAAAAGACTGAGAATCTGATTTTTGCACTCAGCATTTGTTGTAGAGATCAGGTGATATCCTGTCTCTCTGGAGTCTAATGAGCATTTATCAGCTCCATTGTATACAATCCACCTTTGTGCAGAGGGGTCTAAACAGATGAATGAATTACATATCCTGCCTGGACCTCTTTTTCAAGCTTCCTTTTAGAATCTTCTGTTAGAATTTAAAAATAAATAAGAAAATAAACTATATCTCAAAAGACCCAGGCTGCATCTCTGAATCTGAGGGTGGCACCCAGGTGCAAGAATTTTTTTCAACCTCCCCAGATATTCCACAGTTAATCAAATTTGAGAGCCTAGGGTCTAAGAAGAATAGTGTAACTAACTAGAATCCTCGGGTGTTTGTCATAGGGATCACAAACTTTCTATAAGGTTACAAAGAACATAGGTAAACTGGAAAACCTAATTCTTGAAGTTCTTAAGTTAGGGATTTTAAGCAAAATTTAGTACTGGAACTTGCAAGCCATGAGTTTGCAGACTTCAGATGAACCTCAGGTATGAAGCACACAATGAAAGCTGATGTAGCTGATGTGGGACCAGCAGACTATGATACTCTTTTTATTTTAGGACATTGTTAAAAATTATTCCTTTTGTCCTTAATTTTAGATTACTGATTTTGGGCAGTCCAAGATTTTGGGGGAGACCTCTCTCATGAGAACTTTATGTGGTACCCCCACTTACTTGGCTCCCGAGGTTCTTCTTTCCATTGGAACTGCCGGGTATAACCGTGCTGTGGACTGCTGGAGTTTAGGAGTTATTCTTTTTATCTGGTAAGAAAAGTTTTCATTGCTACACAATCTGGTTGGAGGTAATTAGATGAAAGCATAACCATATTCAGGTAGCAAGGTCATGTTTCATTTAGGTCACTTTTCGACCACTGATTTAAAGAAAAACCTGCTTTTTCATGATTCTGAAACCAAGAAATCTGTATATCTGAATGCCTCTGAGAATGCCATTTGATTTCTTTCCCTTTTTCTCTCTACCAATATAAAGCCTTAGTGGGTATCCACCTTTCTCTGAGCATAAGACTCAAGTGTCACTGAAGGATCAGATCACCAGTGGAAAATACAACTTCATTCCCGAAGTCTGGGCAGATGTTTCAGAGAAGGGTATGGATACGAAAAGGGTTAAGAATATGTGGTTTACTACGATGTGGGTATGCTCTTGGTGGGAGTGTCTTTTCAAACTCTGTGGTGTTTTCTCCTATTAGTCTGTTCTAGTTTTGATTAGTTTTTACAGAATTTGAAAATTAGAACAAATGATCAAATTGTTCATTCAGCACATTGAGCTCAAGTTCCTAGTCTACTGTTTCCTAGCTGTGTGACCTTCAGCAAGTTATTGAACTTCTGAGTTTCTATTTTCTTTATTTGTAAAGATCCTCCTCTGATAGTCCTCACCTTAAATTAAATGGTTTTTCTGAGTGCTAAGTGTAATGTACACAAGTGACTGGTACCTATTTTAGTGTGCAAAAGAATAAGTAACTTTTTAGTTACAAACTTTCCTTTGAGTTAGCCCCGTATAAAAAGCTCAATGTAAGTTACTTCGTATATTTTTAATTTTTTTTTAGTTGTTGATGGACCTTTATTTTATCCATTTATTTATATGCGTTGCTGAGAATCGAACCCAGTGTCTCACACATGCTAGGCTAGTGCTCTACCACTGAGCCACCACCCCAGCCCCTTACTTTTTTGTATTTTTATAATTTAAAAATGTAACCTTATAATTTTCAGAAGAAAAAGTGGAAACTTAAAACTAAATATCCAGTAGTGTAACATAGGTGATCGTGCTAAGCATGGGTGCTCTTTAAGGAATAATATTATTGCAGTATACAAGCCAGCCTTCATTGCTTGCTGGAGTAGTCAGGCTTTATTTCTGACAAGCCAGATTTTCACAGAGCCCCTCTTTGGTTGAGGGACTCTCATTACCAGTCCTGGGGTGTCAGGGAGAGTTGGCTGTAGCATTTTGAATATCTCAGAACTGGGTAGAAGGTCAGTTTAATTAGTTTGAGTCCAGCAACAAGAGAGGGAGCAGGGAGCTAAGAAGCTGTGTCCCAGAGGGGGAGATGGGGAGCATCATCATCATTCCTGGTGTTTAGAGTCCTCTGCACACAGGGAGGAGGACCTGGGGTCCTGCCCACTGTCTGCTGACTCCATAATGATCTCTTTCTGGATGGTGGCCTGTCATTCTGCATACCTTAATATTGCTGATTGGATGTGTTTATCCTTTTCACTATAGTTTGCCAATTCTCTTGTTACCTTAGCTCTGGATCTCGTCAAGAAGTTGTTGGTCGTGGATCCAAAGGCGCGGTTTACGACAGAAGAAGCCTTAAGTCACCCATGGCTTCAGGTGGGTGTGGGGCAGTACCCACTTGCATGAAATGCACAGGGAGCCCTGAGCTAGGCGAGGAAGAGGATGGAAACATAACCTTTGCAATGTTGGGTCTGTTTTAGGTTGAACTGTAGGTTCACCCAACAGGTGAGCTAGGCTGGCCTTCATTCCAGCCATCTTTCACCTTAAATAAGGGAGGATGGCAGCCTCCCTGGGAAGAATCCAGCCATTTCTCAGTTCCATGTGATTGGGTGTGAAGGGTCTCACTTCTTATTCCTGGTGAGTAGGCTTGCTGTATTGCAGGCTGACACCTGCGTCTTTCAAGTCTGCATTACTTCTCTGTTCTTGCTGGGAACTGTGGCTGCCATTAGATCGTGCATGGACCTCATTCAGAGTTGCCAGAGTTGGAAGTCTTTGGTGGATTTGTCAGATTCATGTTTGGTGTTAGAATTAGCTACAGCAGTGGGGAGGTTTTTTTTTTTTTTTTTCTTTTTGTACCGGGGATTGAACTCAGGTGCACTTGACCACTAAGCCACATCACCAGCCCTGTTTTGTATTTTATTTAGAGACAGGGTCTCACTGAGTTGTTTAGCACCTTGCTTTTTTCTGAGTTTGGCTTTGAACTTGCGATCCTCCTGCCTCAGCCTCCCTAGCTGCTGGGATGACAGGTTTGCACCCCTGTGCCCAGCCAGGCAGGCTTTTGATGGACGTCTGATCTTCCATTTCCTGTGTCGTCATTCAGCACAGCCATGCCTCTTTCTATTAATTTTCTTTTGATCTGTTTTCTGTGGGGATTAGGCACTTACTAATCAGGTAGTTCGAGCAATAGACTGTTACTCTTGGGGATTACTGGTCCACAAACTCCTTGGGCAGTCTGGCCTCAGCTCTATATTTAAGGCTCTCAGGGAAGGCTGTTCCCCATTCTGTTTTCCAACCCTCTACACCTAACAGTTTTGCTCAGGCCAGCTCAGGTTGAGAACAACAAATCCTTAATGGAGGGAAAAAAAAAGCCCAGATATATGTGTTTGGGATGTTGCCATGGAAACAGCAATCTCCCCAGAAGAAATCTGTCAGATGATTTAGCATTTAATAGACCACACAGATTTGAGACAGCAGGACTTTGGAGAAAAGGAGTTTGGAAACAAAGGGTGCCTATGGATGAAGGGATTTAATTTTGATGAAAAAGAGAAACACGCCTCTTGGCTCTTTTCATGTATCCTAGTAAGGAAACTCTTGGGGTCCCCATGTGGAGAGGTTGGAGGAGCTGTGTTGGGCTTGGAAAAAAAATAGAGAGCTGGCCAGCAAGTCCTAGGGACAGGATTTGCATCTGCCTGAAATTTATGAGGCAGCACAGCCTATTTTTCTTGTACTTTTTGTCTCAAAAGAAAACTTACAACTAAGAAAGTGAAGTTCAACTCTGCCACAGGGGTCTCCTGTCAATACTCTTTTATCCACATTTTGTTTTTGCAGCCAAAGGTGGAGAGGACAAGGCTGCAGATGGGTTATCTAAAACATCAGTTAGTGATGGTTAGGTTTTTATTTTGGGAAAGTTCTGTTTTTCAGAAGCCAAATGGTTTTATGGGTTTGGCACTGGGCTGAACACTGGGAATGTGAATCGTGGTCTCTGTGTTGTCATTAGCAGTGTCTGGTTTGGGGAGCATCTCTCATTTCTCCTTCTTCTTTAATACATTTTTAGTTGTAGAGGGATACAATATCTTTGTTTATTAATTTATTTTTTATGTGGTGCTGAGGATCAAACCAGTGCCTCACACATGCTGGGCAAGCGCTCTGCCACTGAGCCCCAGCCCTCCTCACATCCTCTTCTTGCCTCATGTTGAGTGCCTGAGAGGATTCCTTCCTGCTTGACTTCAAGGGATAATTTAATACTTTTGAATAGGTTGTGGACATCTCAAAGGAAGGACATTTACAGATAAACTCTGCCACCAGGGGGCTGAGGATGTAGAGCCCTTGCTTAGCATAAGTGAAGCATTAGTTTCAATCCCCAGCATTGCAAAAAACAAAACTAAACAAAATGAAATAATAATAAAAAACTTTACAGTTTGCGTCAACAATGAGGTTCTTTTTTATGTAAGCTAATTGATGACTTGTAAATATACTTAATAGACTTGGGTCACTGAAGGTCTAAAGGAGAAGGGCATTTGTGTTAGCAGCCTCTTACTATGACATACCTGAGATAAATTGACTTAAAAAGAGGAAAAGTCCATTTTGGCTCTCAGTTTTGGTGATTTTAGACCATGACCAAAGGGGCCCCATTGCTTTGAGCATGTGGTGAGGCAGCATATCATAGCAGGAGTGTGTGGTGGTGACCTGTTTGTCTCATGGCTGGTGTGAAAAATATGAGAGAGGAAGAGGAAGAAACTGGATTTCCACAGTCTTCTTTGGGGAATGCCCCCAATGACCTAACCTCCTCCCACTAGGCACCACCTCTCTGAGGCTCCGCCCTCTCACAGTAGTGCTGAGACACACAATCCTACCATTATTCCATTGTAATTTCATTGGTTCATGCATTTATTCCTTCAGAATAGTCAATGAGCTCTTGTGTCAAATACTCTTAGGCAGCATGGATATAAAGAGGAATAAGATAAGTCCTTGCCTAGGGAGCTGACGTCTGCATCACAGTTGCTGACTGCAGTCCTACAGTGTGGTGTGATGTATCTGTTGGCGGGGTGGGGGTGGGGGTAGGTGCAGAATACAGTGCTAATCAGGAGGAGGCAGGGCCACTGCCCACAGGGCTCTGGTGTGAACAGGACTGAAGCCTGCATGATCTGGCAACAGTGTCGGGGGTGAGTGTCAGCATTCTCAAATGTTTACTGGGTCCCTCTGCCAGGAAGGCCCCTGTGCCTGTGAGAGTGACTGGTATCTAGGGGATGCTCAGGAAGAATTTGTTCACTGATTGGAACAAGGAAGGTGGGCTATGAAGGTTGCAGGGAGGTAAGGAGGGCATTCCTGGGGGAGCTGTGGTGTGAACTCAGTATGGGGGGAAAGAATGGATGGGCTTTGGCAAGTGACAGTACGTGAGAAGTGACATCCTCTAGCCATGGGAGAGTCTAGAGGGGAATCCAGGTGAGCATGACCCTACCAAGATAGGCTGAGGGACTAGGCAGAGTGATGGAAGCAGGTGGTAGTTCCAGTTGCTAGATAGAGAAGAGATGAAGCAGTTGGTAGTCCTCTAGCATCATGCAGCTGCTGAGCGGTGGAGACCCCGTTGTCCTCTCCCTCTGGTGGCTTACGGGGAAGAGTAGGGAGAAGGTGGGTTGCTTGGTAAAGTATGTGGGGCTTTGGAATCGAACTGCTTGAGGTCTATATACTGCACACTTCACTGGTGAGTGGCTGAGCTTAGCCCACATTCTTTGACATATTTTGCATTTTCGAAGATGGGGAGAACCGGACCAGGCCACCCATCAAGACTCTCAAATGCAAATCCTTGAACCCTATAGAACTTAGCATCTGGAGAGGTAGAGCTACCCTCACACCTCACACATCTGGGCAGTTGTTCTCTTTGCCCACTCCTTCTCTGCCCCACCTTTTCCTCCTGCAGCATGAAGCACCTGTAATGCTATGTCGTGTTCATTGTTGTCCTTTCTCATTAGAGCTGAGCTTGGGATACTGTGGGCTTCAAGACCATGTGGCACTTTGTATAGCACCTGCTGGGTAATTTTCTTAGGGTGCTGAGTCCGTTGTTCGATTGGTATCTGGGTAAATGGCCTTGCTGATGGCAGGGCAAGGGGGCGATGTGGAAGGATTCAGGGAGCTGCATGGAGTCAGCCCCAGCCTTTGGCTCTCAGGATCTGCTGGTTATCTGGAGTCTGTGGTTCTCTTACCCACTGAGCTCTTAGGACCATGGGTTTGATTCAGTCAGTGTTGACTGAGCTGTCACTGCTCATGAGACTACTCAGAAGGCAGAGGTGAGCACCCATGGGCCCTTCACTTCGGGAACTTGAGCAAGGGGGTGATTCTTAGCAGACACTTGCCATCCTTGCAGGGGTGCCTTGCCCTGTCCTTCTAAAGGAGTTTTCTTTTCCCCAGACACAGCCTACTTATGTTTTTCATTTCTTCACAGGATGAGGACATGAAGAGAAAGTTTCAGGAGCTACTGGCCGAGGAAAATAAATCAATCGCTCTATCCCAGATCCCAACCCAGGTATCCCTACTAATGATTAATAAATCTAGACTAGGTTTAAAGAGCTGATGAGTGAGCCTAATGAGTCTAAAGATTCTCTTTTATTTATTTTTTAAATATTTTATTTTTAGTTGTAGATGGACACAGTATCTTTATTTATTTTTATGTGGTGCTGAAATTCACACCCAGTGCCTCACGCATGCAAGGCAAATGATCTACCACTGAGCTACAACCCCAGTCCCAGGTCTGAAGAGTCTTGAGGGTGACAGTTGCTTCACATTCTTAAAGATCTATGTAGTAGGTGTTACGTTTCAACTTGATCTGCTCTAGCGTCCTTATAAGATTGCTTAATATGTTAGTGAAGCACACGTAGGGCCTGTCACTTGAAAGTTCTCCTCAGGGCAAGACTAAACCATCTGTTAGAGGCTCGATTTTAAATTCGTTGGAAAACTTAAAATTTGGACAAATGATGATTTCTTGGTTATAATTTTATTCTTCTAAAATTCTTTGTAAGTATAAATAAATATCACTTCATTCCTGTCTAGCTTTCTTTTGGTTAATGATAGTTCTGCCTTTTTTTTTTTTTTTTAAGGTACTGGGGGTTGAACTCAGGGGCACTTGTCCACTGAGCCAAACCCCTAGCCCTATTTTGTATTTTATTTAGAGACAGGGTCTCACTGAGTTGCTTAGCACCTTACTTTTTTTTTTTTTTTTTTTGCTGAGGCTGGCTTTAAATTCATGATCCTCCTGCCTCAGCCTCCCGAGCCGCTGGGATTATAGACGGGCACCACTGGTTGCACTATTGCAAGCACTGCAAAAGTTCTGCTTTTTTCCCACTCTCCCTCCCAGTTTTATAAATGGTGAAGCAAGCAAGGCAAGATTGCCTTTTCCATAAAAGAGTAAAAGTTGGGGCTCTAAGTGAGAGGTTTTAGTCTTTCTCACTTTTTGTGATATCGACCATTGAACCCAGGGCCCCACACATGCTAAGCAAGTACTCTACCACTGAGCTATACCCCCTAGCCCTTTTTATTTTATTTTGAGACAGAGTCATACTAAGTTGTCCTGAAGGCCTCAAGCTGTCTGTCTTTTCTGCTTTAGCCTCCCAAGTAGCTCTCTGTTTTGGTGCTAGGGAGTAAATGCAGGGCCTTAGTGTAGGCTAAGCACATACTTTACCACTAAGCTGTAAGCCCAGTTCCATTTAATACTCCAAATCTACTGAGCTTGGCAACAGTTGCACACTAGTGTATAGGATTCTGTTTGTGATCTTGCTGACCAGGAGCTATAGTTGCCTCACATCAAGAGAGAATATTGCTAGCCTACAAAAAGATGTTCAGAGTCTGCACCTGAGGTCGTGGTGGCCCTGTGGCAGAGCGCTTGCCTGGCATGTGTGAGGCACTGAATTCAATCCTCAGTGCCACATAAAAATAAATAAAATAAAGGTATTGTATCCACCTACAACTGAAAAAAAAAAGATATCTAGATTTAGATTCAAAGTTTACTTTCTACTGTTTGCATTTGCTTATGCACCATTGTAAAATATAAAAATTGTAGTTGAAAAAAAATTGTAATTGAGTTGAGTATGGTGGTGCACATCTGTAAATCCCAGTGGTTTGGGAGTCTGAGGCAGGAGGATTGAAGTTCAAAGCCAGCCTCAGCAACTTAGTGAGGCTCTGTCTCTAAATAAAATACAAAAAGTGTTCGGTAGTTAAGTGTCTCTGGGTTCAATTCCCAATATCAACAAAAAGGGTGGTGGGTGTTCCTGGGGTTGTGGCTCAGTGGTAGAGCACTTTCCTAGCATGTGTGAGGCATTGGGTTCGATCATCAGACCACATAAAAGTAAATAAATAAACATCTTAAAAAATACAATACCCTTAAAAATTTCTTTCTTTCTTTCTTTTTTTTTTTTTTTTTTTTGTAATGGGAATTGAACCCAGGGGCGCTCAACCACTGAACCACATCGCCTTTTTAAAAAAATATATTTTATTTAGAGACAGAGTCTCTCTGAGTTGCCGAGGCAACTGATCCTCCTTCCTCAGCCTCCTGAGCTTCTGGGATTACAGGTGCGCTCCACTACGCCTGGCAAGATTTCTTATAAAAACAAAATTGCAGTTGAACTGTCCTTACATCATTAAGTGGTTGGAAGCCACAAGAAGAGAAATGTTAGATAAGTGTATTGGAGTCCAGTGGGGATTCAGTGACCACCAGTTATTCTTGGTACCACGCTTTACATGAAGTGACCCTGGTTGACTGATAGCTAATTGGGGAACTTTAATAGAAGCTGGTGATTTTCTTCTAAACATTCTCCCTTTTTCTTTATTTGCAGCCTTCCACTAGTCAAAAGCGGCCCCTGGAAGGGGAAGCCGAAGACACAGAGTCCTCGAAGCGCCGGGCTGTGTGTGCGGCTATGCTGTGAACACTGGAGTGAACCTGAAGAAATGTACTTCTTTCACTCTGCTGTCATCTTCCTTTTCTTTAAATCTTTTTTTTTAATCATTTGTATTTTGATTATGGGAATAATTGCTTTTCCACAATCACTGTTAATCCAATTAAAAACCTGATGGAATGTGGGCTTTGTACTTATGCTTCAACCAACTTTTTGGTTGAATGCCTTTTATTTAAAAAAAAAATTTTTTTTTTCTTTAAAAAAAAAATAGTTGGGGGGGGTGCTGGGGCTCAGTGGTAGGGCACCTGCCGTGCACGTGTGAGGCCCTGGGTTCGATCCTCAGCACCACATAAAAATAAATAAAGATACTGTGTCCATCTACAACTAAAAAAATGTTAAAAGAAAAAAAAATGTTAGGGGTGGGATATGGTTCAGTGACTGGATTCTTACATTGCAAATGTAAGGCCCTGCGTTTGATTCCCAACACCAAAATAAAGAAAGAAATAAAATGAAAAAAAAAAAAAAAAAAGTTATGTGTGCTTTTTCATCTAGAGCCCTACTTGGGTTGTTGTTACCAGGCAGTTTCTCTGGATGTCACCTGGTTTCAGCCAGGGACAGCTAAATACAAATTCTGAAGGCCCCTTAGAAAGTTACAGGGAAAGGGGCACAGGGAGGTTGGGGGTGGCATTTGTAGTGACTCACACTCAGAAATTTCAAGAGATGGTAGGTACATTGGTGTATGTATCATGTGCCAGTTTTAAATTCTCATCCTTTGTGTTAAAGATACATGTCTTCACAGTCTGAAACCTTGGGACTAGATAAGTTGTGAAATTCAAATTTTTCCAAGGTTAGGCAGCTGATTCACTTCTCTTGTATATTATGTGTAATACCCCAGGGGGGGTCCCATAACCATACTCATTGATATTTCTGCAGCAAATATTCACAGCAAAAGGGGAAGAGAAAGAGGAAGGTTGTCCCATGTTAATGCATGTCAAACTTTTCTCCCAAATGAATTAGGGATGACTTATTTTAGAAGTGGAGTTTAGGCATGTGGGCATGTTACATTGACCCAGTAATGATTAGGAAGGCCCTGTGCAAAAAGCCCTATTCTTGGCTGATCTTGTCTTCACAGTGATCATATAAGCTAAGTCACCCAGCCACCCTCATGTTACAGGTAAGGAATCCAGGCTTAGAGAAGTAAGGTAACTTTTCCAAAATCACACAGCTGATAAGCGGCAGAGTTGGGACCCAACCTAGGTTTTTCTGAATCCAGAACTAATGTCTATCTTCCTAGTTTCATGTTCAGACTCATGGATGGTGACTTGCTGACAAAATGCACAAGCAACTGATGTCTAAACTCAAATGTCAGCATGTTCAGTGAACTGCCCAAAGGAGCATATATCCTTGTTTACCATCAAGTGCGATCAGTCCCTCCAGGCTGGCTTCAGGGACAGCCCTATGATCTGTAGAAGTTGGAACATCTTTGGCAGAAAACAGACCACTCACATCATTTCATGGAGGGGATGTGTATCGAGGTCACAGATGCCTGGATCTGGAGCCATCAGGAATGCAGGCATTTCTAATGCCTGCTTCCTCTCTGATTCTGCTTTTTCTTTCTTTCTTTCTTTTTTTTTTTTTAGAGAAAGAGAAGAGAGAGAGAATTTTTTTAATATTTATTTTTCAGTTTTCGGTGGACACAACATCATTATTTTTTTAATGTGGTGCTGAGGATCAAACCCAGCACCCTGCGCATGCCAGGCAAGCGTGTTGCCACTTGAGCCACATCCCCAGCCCTACTTTTTATTTTTTTTAAAAAAATATTTATTTAGTTGTGGATGAACACACAGTATCTTTATTTA